GAAAGGTTTTGGTTATTTTTTAGAGTTTCTGAAAAACTAGTTTTCCAGAAAACCGGGTCTTCAAAAGTCATGGGCCCGAATCCTTTTAGAGTATTCACTACCTCACTGAGGTCTATCGATCCATGTACAAAGCATTTGAATCGGAAGTGAGCATCTCGGGAGGTTCTCTCGTAAGTAATGATAACTATTCATAAAAAAATGTTTTACGAGTACAAAGTTCTGATGTCCACGTACTGTTAGAAAAATCCCCACGGTGTCCTAGCGTCAGAAATCTCACTGGATACACTTTTTATGAGTAAATCGAAATTTGACGTGTAAGAGACACACTTCATCACATACTTCAACATTAGAATGAACTTCGGTGTTAATTATCTTCCATTAAAACAATAAAATTATTATTAATAGTGTTTCTTTATTCTAAACTAAATAATTTTTGATTTTTTCAAAATAACAACAATAAATTATCACAACAATTACACACGTCAGTCTTTTTTTATATTTTACCAAACAAAAAAAAAAAAACATTTCGAAACTAATTTAATCAAATTCTGAGTATTCATAAAGGGTTAATAACAACAATAAAAATATATGACAAAAAGTGCAGGCAAATTACAACATTTCCTTTGACTAGAGATCAAATAAAAAAATATATGAGATTTTGCTCATTATGAGAAGACAAAATAGAAAAAAAGACTAGATGCCAACTGCCCTCGGGAAGGTTAAAAAGTCGACTGAGTGAAACGGTAAACAGACGAGATTAGAACATCCAGAAATTCATAACTGTCTACGTGTCTTACATAGAAAAACTAATTTCAAATGTGTTATCTACGACTTCTCTACTTTCGAATCATCTTTTCTCCAAATATGTGTAACATCAGAGGGAGCTTTGAACGAGAACGGTAGAAAAACGGTATGGAAAGAAATAAAGAATGAAGAATTTTGCTAGGCAATGCTCGGAGTGAAAAGCAATAAGTCTCCTTTTGTTACACTCAGTCGACTTAATGATTACAAAAAAAATGAAGAAAGAAATTAACAAAGTGCAATAACGAATGGAATGACATTAAATAGTAACCTACAAATAACAATCAAAAGTTAAATACATTTAAAGCTCATATCGTTTTAAAATACACGTAAAAAGTTGACTTTGAACTAACGTTTTTCTAAAACCAAAGAATTAAGGCAGAATTGTAAATTTTCTGAATGAAGAATGCCATTAATAGGAGGAAAAAAGAGAAAATAAATTTTTCGTTGAATCAATGGAAATGTGCACAACTTGGTATTACTGATACTTTATGACATTCGTAGAGTAATCAGCAAAGTTTCTTGTCAATTCAACATTACATTCAAAAATGCACACTAAGTAAAATTAGACGAAATTCGATGGTCGTAATTGTCGTTGTTTAAAGCTAAAAAAGCAATTGCATTTTGGACATAAATTTAAAAAAAATTTGTTCCACGATTTGCCAATCACCCTTTTACAGTCTTTGCTTTTTTTTTAAATAGTTTCGAGTTATTATGCATATCATCGAGCAGCAGTATGAAACAAAACAATATATTAAACGAATGTGAATAACATATCTGCAAAAAGGTCGAAAATAGATCATTCTTTGACCAAAGTAAAATAAAATTATTTTAACTCAGCAGTGAGCTAACGGTGGCAGCTAAAAATATCATATTTGTGATCAGCACACTTAGCTCTACCAAACCTCATGTATTTCTCCAAAATCCCAGAGGGACACTTCGGGATGTTCCCTCGTAAGATAAAAATTTGTGTCTCTAATGTAGGGCCGTTTGACATCGCAAGGGACAACATGAAACTTCCAAAAGAATCTCTAAAGCTTTTTTTCCACTAGAAATGCCGGATGTTTCAAATGATTCTAGATACTCAAATCTCAAAATAAACGCGGACAATTTTTTTAAATTTTGTTTACATTACATTTGGTACGTCTATCAAGTTAACAGTCTGATAATTCACCCTTTTATTTCTTAGAGAAGTGTATTTTTCTTAGTAACGAAAGCGAAATTCTAAAATTGCTTGTATCACTTTTCAAATTTAAGTCATGACTATTAAAAAAAAAAAAACATGCTACGATTCTATTTTCAACTGTCTAGTAAAGAAGTTCTTAAGGTATGCTCAACAAGTATCGAAATTTTCTTTAACTAGACAGTTAAAGACAAAAAAAAATTGGTCGTTGTAACCTAGTATCCAAATTTCATCGAAGTTTCTAATAATTCAATGAAAAAGGGAACTACATTCATTTTCGTTAGAAGGAAAGCAATGTCAGATCAAAAGTCTTCATTACCTATTCCATTAATACACACAAATTTACAACGATCTGAATACTGCGTATGTACAAATAACAACAATATGACTAGCAAAATTTAATTTTGACCATTTTTCTAATGTATGCTGTAAACTATAACCAATATATTGTTGCTGTGAATTATCAAATAATTGCCCAAGATATGTTAAATGCCACAGACTTAAAGCAGATAATAAACAATTTACTGTAAATGTTAATGGATGCCAATATGTGTGAGTATGATCACATGATGAACAATATTTCGCCATAACACATGAGTCTAAAACTTCTGATAATTTTTTACGAAAACCATATTCAACATAGGCAAAGATACCAATTGACAAAAGAACAATTGATAACTGAAAATTAAATCCGTGTAATAAAGCTGATGCTAAATATGTAACAAATATCGATGAAAAATGACTATATTTTGATTTCATTAATTTATAAACATAGATTTTTAACCAATAATGCATGGGAATATTCCAATTAATAACAACATCAACAAGTGAATGAGGAAATTCAATTTCATACGGTTTAACAATTGATGAGGATCGAGACAATACCGATGATGACAATGACGAAGATTTCTTTGTTATTGGTACAGATGTCTGTTGTTTAGACGAGATAGAAGAGGATAAATGGGATGAAACTACTTTTCGCTTTAATGATGTTGATGATAATGGTTTTTTCTTTGCTATTGTATTTGTTGAACGTCGAATAATCGGTGAACGATATCGCAGAGGATACACTTTTATCTTATCATCATGATGAATTATTTCCGAATGATTACCACCTTCTATGTTATCATCATGATTATCGTTCATTGTTTCGGTCGTGTCTAAATAATTTGAATTTGTTAATTCTTCTGGAATGCTGAAAAAAAAGAAGGAAATGTTAAAATTAAACATTTTATCGAATGAAGATTTTTTTTTAGCACGGTTTTTAGAATGAAATGAGCACGGAAACGTAAAAGAGAATATTTTAAATTAAAAAGATTGTTTTAAAACATTGTTGGCAGTTTTTATAAGATAAAGTAATTGATTACTTGGACTTCAATTGTTCATTTAAACGTTTTGAAATATGAACCAGTGTATCTTATGAATTGTTGCCACAAATTCTGTCTTTAAAATGGTTACAACAACATTAATCATTTCCTTGGACCCCGTTTAAAAACTTTTGTATCTGATTGTATTCGGGAAGACTTGTGACTATACTAAGGCTTTATTCGTGTAAAAAACTTAAAAAAACTTTTGTATGTAAACATGCTGTTGGTCTAATGATGCATTTTGGCCATTACTTGGTAGTAGACTCTGCTAGTTTATCAGATTTTTTAGTAAAAAAGAGAACATTAAAAAAAGCGCAATTATCTCATTGAAGCGTCTTGTCGAATGAAAGGTGGTTGATATATCGTTAATTCCATGTTTTGATTCTGGAGTATATTTTCCTTAGTATAAAGAACTAAGAACGTATAAAACGATCCATTGTCCGTGCTCAAAATAAATTGTTTTAAGTAAAAACGTTTTCTTTTCTCTCTCAGTGCCCATTTCACTCGAAAAGATCTGCTTAAACCACTATTTGCCCACTTTATTCCCGATGCATAAAAAGCTTTAATTTTTTTCATTGAATCCATAAACTAAAGCAGATCTAAAAAGATCTGCAACAAAACATACCTGAGTTTGTTTTCGTCCATATTTGCTGATGAGTCTTCTTCTACATCATCTTTATTAGTTTCAATTATTTCAACAGTATTCGATATCATTGGATCCTTGTTATCCATTATGACTGATGACATTTTTAACAAAAGTTCTTCGTGTTTGTCATCTTCCTTGAGTTCATTTACTTTCTTCGATAACTGTTTATTTTTCTTCTCGTGTGACTTTTTTCTTGATGGAATTTGTGTTATAACTTGTTTAATTACATTTAATTTTTCTGTATATTGTTGATGTATTTCTTGATAATTTTTATAATCTTCAACATCAAATTCAATACCACTAACGAGTCCAAATAATTCACCTATAAAACATATACAATAATGACTAAAACGATATGTTAACGCTTGAAGATAAGCATTTGTCCAACCGCCACTACCATCTGTATTACTACTAAAAGAAATTGTAATCTGTTGTAACCAATCTGTGAAACAATTTGATATAATTAAACATAGACATATTTTAAATAGACAATAGAACCATTTACTTAATTCGAAAAAATCTATTTTTCGAATAACAACAATATTCTTCTTTGGTTGAAAATACTTAATATAATTTCGATAGTTTAGCCATGGTCCAAATACTGTATTATTAATAGATAATATATAACTTAAAAATTCTATGGTAGATGGACATTTAACGAGTGTGTCGTGTTCTTTCGTTTGTTGCTGATCATCTTCATCTGATGATGAGTATTGTTGTTCAAAATATTTATAATCGATGGATAATGAGATCATCTTCATCATTAAACACATTTGAACACCGCGAATACCTATAAATGAGAAAGTTCTTTAGAATTATGGATACAGTGCTTTTCCTATTATAGTATAAGTACTATCCAAGAACTATCCCAAATCTATTGCTAATTTTCTTTATTTTCTCAATCTCCGTGAGATCACAGTTATAATTAATAGTACGTACGGTGCCATTTTTCTTGTTCAATTAGAAAAAATTCACATGTTAATAAATAAATAACTGAAAAACAAATAATAATATGTGTCAAAAATATTCTACATTTACTTAAACATAGTTGAAATGATAAATAAGATAATAGAATGTATGAGAATAACAAAAATGATTGAAACTGAAAATAATTGTATAATAATAGAACACTTGCAAAAATTTGTATTCGATGGAGTGTACGATGGGAAAAAAATGTTGTTGAACATAATAAACGAAATACAAAACAATAAATGAGAATATATAATAATTGACTAAATAACTGAGTTAAAGAAGGTGATATACAATTTTCTGTTAGATCAATAAATGAGTAGACGAATGAAGAGGCCGATTGACCTGTTCCTGCGAGTACTGATGACGTCGAAGTAGACGATAAATTACCCGATAAAGATGTTAGGCTTACACCACTGTCAATATGAGATAAATACTCATCGAAATAGGATTTTTCATCCACTGTCCAATCTCGATAAGTAAACAGTGAGTCGACGTCATATTCGTCGGTATATTCATCAAAATAGTAATCATCTGTTGACACCATTTTGATCTAGAGAAGAAAACAGAACAAAAAATTCAGCAAATATTTAACGTGTTAAGATATCTGAATTCTAGCGTCTTCTTTCTTATCTACAATGATAAAATCCAAGCAAATCTTCTTAGAACAAAATCAATTTTATTTGTCAGATATATATAATTATGACCACAGAACGCACTACAGTTTTTTATCTATCCTTAAAAAATGTTCATTAAAAAAAAGAGCTATTTGAGCAAAAAAGGATACAAAAAAAAGTACAAAAAAAGTTTTTCCACTTAAACTTTACTTAGTTCTTCTCCAATTTGACAAAAATCTTTATATAAATTTAATAATGCTCCTGTATTCACATTTGTATCAGCAGCAACAACAAATATGAAAGGTTGTACATTATACGTAATAATTTGTCGTGATGACCAATATGCGACAACTGTTTTTATCTTTTTTAGATTCATTCTTTGACTTTGATCACTTAATACTTGTGCTGGAGGTATGACTAATTGTAAATTATCAACAGTTTGTACATTGGGTAATTTTAAAATAGCTGCACCATCTTTATCTAATACTAAAACGGCTTCGATACCGTCAATGTGATGAAATAAACGTGGTAATGCCATTTTAAGTAAAGATGTATCTGAAAACAATACAAACTAGCGTTGCATTTTTGAAAAAAATGATCGACTAAGCACGCTGCGTAAAAAAAAGAAATTTACACCTTATCTTCGAGTCCAGTTGTCACCTTATTTTCTCCTGCAAAGTACCACCAGTTCAGCGGCGTATCCA